TGGGGCTTTTCCATTGAACACATGGAGCGCTTCCCCAAGAAGGCTGCTTCCTTGTTTTAGAGGAAGGTACTGCCATTGGGAGATGGAACATTGGGACCTCAGCAACGGAGACCCCTTGTGAAGCACCAGGAGGAGTGGGAAGGAGGCAGTTGGGCAGGGTGTGGTCTACTTGCACTGGTGTTTCTTTTTTCAGGTTTGATATAAGCATGGGCTTGCATCCCCCAGGTACATACTTTTACTTGTTGTGGGATAACCTGGCATGGGCAGGCAGGTAGTCACAAATGTGGTGTCTTGTCATCTTTTGACTATTGTCTTAGTAGCTCCTTTCCCTCTGCCTGGAGGTACTTCCTACCTCTGATAAGGAGCAGGAAGAAACAGCCTGACTTGAAGGAACTTGGCTCAGAGTTCTAAGGACCAGCACTCTGGGGGCCATTTTCTACACAGGCCAGTGGAATTGCTTGTCCCATAACAAATTGCGATGAGGTTGCTGCTGAAGGAGGAGGTGCCCGCAGGGTCCTGCAGTGCCCATGGGGTGATGCTACTTCTGCATACATCTACAGGGCACGTGACATTTAACTCGAGACGTGACATGTGAGATGAGATGTGGCATGTGAAACATAGGGTCACTGGAGACCTTTCTGGCTCAGAAGGGAGAGACTGAATTGGACTGAGCCCTTCCTCTGTTCCCAGCACGTTTCTGACGTAGCCCTCATCAGTGAGGGAGCTCCCCCAGGGTTGGAGAGGCACATTCCCTTGGGACGGAGGCTACAGGTGTTAGCTTTTTCCCCCATCCCCCAACCCTAGCCCCACCTCCACCTCAGAACATGGCACCCCACCCAACCAGCCAAGTGTTAAGTGATGTGCTTATCCTCGAGAGCAGCTCTGGGTGTCTTTAAAATGTAGAGAAAACCAAGTAAGGTGACAGTTTAAGGAAGAAATATATATAGAATACCAGAAATGCCGTTTACCTGGAGAATTTTTTTCTCCCCATTTTTGTTTTGTTTTTACTCAATGACACGATTTTTAGTTTTATTTCCTGATAGCAAAAGGAAAAAAAAAATCCCAACCCTCAAAAAGGCCAAGGTCCCGTCCCCCTGTCGTCGGTGATTTGTTTGTCTTTCTGATAGGTTGAAAATTGTGTAATAAACTTGATGACGCTGTCAATCTTTTATACTGCATTGTATTTTTTTCATTTTGTAACAAAATATTTTTAAATAATAAATGGGGTGTGAGCTGTTTTATGGATTCTGCATTGAATAGATTTGTTGAGGTGTCTGGGGCATGGTATGGGCTGACGTAGACACTGGGATGGAGTGAAACCCCAAGTTCTTAGCTGGAATTGCATGTTGGGTGATGGCTTTTTGTGGCATGAGTTGACAGTGATAAGCCTTCCAGGAGACCTAGTGCAAACCTTGGGAGGCATCCCTTGAGATTGCGCTTTTTTCTTTAGCCATCTAAACAGCCTGGTTAAAGAAAACTTCCAAGTCATCTTTTACCTTCAAGATTCCTAAGACTTTCAGAGCAAATGTCCTATCTTGTACAGTTCACTTCCAGTGTCATCAAGTTCAGGAAGGGAAGAATCCCCTGATAAGAGTGAGAAGACCTGATTGCTAGTGCTTAGTTCCCCCATCTATCTAAATATGGACAAGCAATATAACCTCAGTCTTTTCTCTGTAAGATGAAAAGAATAGCTGTCCTGCTGTCCACATAGGGATGTTTTAAGAATCAGAAATAACAAATGTTTTGTCAACTACCTAAATACGAGGAATTATCGATTAGAAAACTTAGTAGAGGTGTTGTAGGGTAACCTTGGGATTCCAGAAACGCTTTTAGCTTTTTTTTACAGCCCGGTGAACAAGAAGAGACTCAGATGATAAAAGGATGAGCCACAGCTGGGCATGGTGGCTCATACCCATAACTCCAGCACTTTGGGAGGCAGAGGCTCAAGACCAGCCTGGGCAGTATGGCAAGACCTCTCATCTCTACAATAAATCAAAACATTAGCCAGGTACGGTGACATGTGTCCGTAGTCCCAGCTACTTGGAAGGCTGAGGCAGAAAGAGCGCCTGAACTCAGCAGGTCGAGGCTGCAGTAGCCATAAGTATGCCACTGCACTCCAGCCGGGTGACAGAGTAAGATTCCAACTAAAGAAAAAAAAGCTGAGCATGGTGGCTCACACCTGTAATCCCAGCACTTTGGGAGGTGGAGGTGAGAGGATTGCCTGAGTCCAGGGATTCGAGACCTCGTCTCTCCAATAAGTCAAAAAATCAGCCAGGCATGATAGCACACGCATGTGGTTCCAGTTACTAAGAAGGCTGAGGAGGAAAGATCACCTGAGCCCAGCAGTTCTGGACTGTGGTGGCTATGAGCGTGCTGCTGCACTCCAGTCTGGGTGACAGAGTGAGACTCCAACTCAAAAAAAAAAAAAAGGTGCATCACATACCAGCTGATAGTGTGTACTGGTACCAGGAATGGCAAGAACAGAGTAAGAGCAAGTAACCTTTAGAAGGGAAATTTCCTAGAGGGTTTATCAAGCAGTGAAACCTAAAAGGAAAGAAAAGAAAATAGCTGGGAGTGATGCTCAAAATGTAACCCATTGTTTTCAAGTTGGGTTCCATCTGTTCCAGAACATCTGTTATCTGTCTGTTCCAGGGTTGCAGCAGTCTGTACTTAAGGTCTAGGAATCTCCTTTGTATGCCCTAGCTGACTGTTTTGTAAACTAAAGTGTGAGGACTGCTAGCTTAAGCGACAAATCCGTTGTTTCATGTTTCACTGTAGTGGTACCGTGGTGGTGTAGAAGGGAACCCTGACAAGGTTCCTCCAGGTCCAGATCCCTACTTTCCAAGCTGAATGCCTTGGACATGTGACTTAACATCTGAGTTGATTTTCTTCTGCCTCCTAGGATCATGATAGAGATTAGATACACTCTGTCAGGCACCAGATGAGTATCAGTCTCCTACAAGTTGCTGCCATGGTATGGAGCCAGAAACCTGAATGTGTGTGCCATACATGCTTCCTGAACTGGGCCAGAACTACAGAGTCGCTTGCCAGTTCTAGCCATGAGTGAGTAGATGTGCAAGCCTCTGCCAGCTCACAACCAGGGCCTGCTCCTTTGCTTAGCCATCTCCGGTGCTCCAGAATGTTGGTATTTCCAGGTCTTTGTGGGCTGTAAAGTGGCTTCCCTTGACTAGTGAGCACAGCCTCTGGCTACGTTAACCCTGAAAGACCAGCTATGCTGATTCCGGTCCACCACAGCCTCAGTTTCTGTTGTATGGTGATCTACTCCAGTGTGACTAAATGCACCTACACAGGGGGCTCCATCCAGTGAGCATCGGGAAGAATTAACATTTATGGAGCAACCCACTGGAAGCACAATGTGCTAAGCTGCCACACAACCATGAAGTAAACAGGAGGACTTCCTATTCCTAATCACAGCCTCATTTCCAACCATTATCCTCACCCTCAAGTGGCACCTGTTGAGAATGGAAATCACTTGATCCAGACTGAGAATCCTAAGGCAAGGCTTCTAGTTCCACCTCTGAGTAGCCAGTTGTGTGGTGCTGGTTATGGTTGGCGCTGGCTGTTACTTCCTCACTTCTAAGCCAGAAGTGGAGGGTACGATTTAGTTCAGCAGTCCCCAGGCTTTTTGGCATCAGGGACTGGTCTTGTGCAAGACAGTTTTTTCATGGTCTGTGTGAGGGGAGGGGGTGGTGGCGGCATCATCAAGTGTCAGATTCACATGAGCGTGCAACCCAGGTCCCCTGCATGCACAGTTCACAATAGGGCTCATGCTCCTGTGAGAATCTAAAGCCGCCGCTTACTTGACTAGAAGATCCAGTTCCTCTCACCGCTCACCTCCTGCTGAGGCCTGGTTCCTAACAGGACACAAACTGGTACCAGTCTGCGGCCCAGTGGTTGGGGAACCCCTGACTGAATTGATCTCCTGACCTCAGATATGTCTCTCTGAATTCTAACATGTAGATTTTATAAGCCACCTCTAAACTTACAATTGTGCCTTCCATTCATTTATCTGTATTGCTGAGAGAGACCTTAACTACTGAAACTCTAAATGAAATAGGGAGGCCCCTGAGAATAGCCTCCCTTCCAGTTTGATACAAGTGATTTCTTCAAAGCGGGGCTAGACAGTAGCAGTGTGAGAAGCAACAGAAGACTGGTGTCAGTGGAATTTGTGACTGATTTCTGGTTACTACCTCATGGTTGATTAGACCCATTATAGTTTTCGGACAGACCCCAAGGGCAGCTGGGAGGCAAGGGCACAGAAGGGGTAGGTCGCAAGAAAAAGCGCCAGTGCTTTGCATAGTGGAGACCCTCATAGGATGAGAATAAGCCTGAACACAGAAAATAAGCAGAGTTAAAAATCAGCACAGAATGCTTCAAGGTCAGCTACTTTTTGAGGCAGAGCAGATATTCTAGGATTAATCTAACACCAGACAGGAGGGCCTTAAGGTTTCCTAAAGTAGATTCTGTCATGGCTCTGGATGGCTTTTTAGGGCTAAGAATCATAGCCACTACCAAAATGAGGAACAATTTTAAAGATATTTTACCTGGAGAAAGAAATACTGTATTCATCTAGAGCAACAGGCCTCCAGCTTAAAAGAAAAAATGTATGTGTTCCTTTTATGTTAGCCCAAAAAATTTAAATAAGTGACCCAAAAAAAAATCTTAAGTTTAGAATATGCTTCTAAACTTGGCCTACCCTGCAAAGAAGAGGACAGTTAGCCATAAGAGGAATGAGACAAGATGCTGACTTTGGAGTAAAAAAGCAGTCTTTTGCAGAAGGACAGACCTGAAGAAGATAAAGAGGATGGCAGTGCCTTTGGGACCTGCAGCTTGGGGAAGAAAATCAGTGGCCACCACTGCCTTTGTGTCCACGCTGCCACTAAGCACAGCCTGAGAACAAACTGCTGGGATCATCCCTGTCCTCTCTCAAGTGGATGAAATTGTAGGGACGGGTGCCACAAGGAAAAGGCTGTAAACCCCACAACAGAAAATACATATTTATTATAAAATAATGTGTGTTTCCTGATGAGAGTAGAAAGATAACATTATGAGCTACTATAAAAAGCTCTGGAGCTCAGTCTCTGTGAAATGGGGTGCGAGGCTCCTGCATCACTCTGGAGCCACCGACACGAGGCTCTCTGTGCCTGTACGGGACAGGTAGGGCCTAGCCCGTATAGCAAGTATGTGGCTCAGGTCCTGCTGGAAACCCAAGGAGTCTAGGTGGTGCACATAAGATGGTCTGGCCACAATGATCAAAGAGGAGAGCTTGAGGTCAGCAGGGAACTGGTTCTGAGAAGGGCCAGGACATGATAACCTTGCCCCTCATTATACTGGAGTGTAGAAGAGTCTCTTGGGCTGATAGTCCTGGTTTAGAAGATGGGACCCAATAACCTTATGCTGGGTTGGTTGCCCAAACGTCTGTGCTGAGGAAAAGCTGCACAGCCTTTCGCAGGACAACTTAGCCCACCAATCTCCCTGGTGTGGCCAAAGTGCCAAAAGTACATGTGGTGGCAGCCTGATGGGCTGCTGGCTGAAATTTTTGTACTTCAGATCTTGTCCATACTGATGGCAGAAAGAGAAGAAACGTTAAAAGACCAGTAACCAAGGGCAGCTGGCCTGAACTGTTCTACATTTCAAGTCTCTTGGTCCCAAAGAACAAGAATGTTTTCTCTAAGTGGGAAACTTTCTACCTGCCCTAAACAGAAAGGCAGTCCCACACACAACCCTTTCCCCTATAAAAAGTCTCCTAGATCCCTTAGACTTCAGAAGAGCAATGAGTCCCTCGTGCGATGGAAGTCCAACCCTCCAGTGATGTGGAACCTCCCTCAGCAGTACCTGGAGAAAGCAGCCAGGGTGAGCACCTCAAGCAGCAGCTCTGAGCCACAGAAGAAGAGCAAGATGCTGTTCATGATGGCTTCCAGGCGGAGCACGTAGGTCTGCAGCAGGAGGTAATAGGAGGCCATCATGGCAGAGGGGAAGGTCAAGGCCACGCTAATACCAAGTGGCATCTTTCGTTGGCAGAGGTTTCCCTTTGTACCTGTCAGACACAGCCCATGGAGTCACCTCCACGTGGTCTGCTTTCCCTGGCCTTGGGAAAGCTGGATAAGATATGACAGACTGGTGAGGCAGACAAAAGAGAGCCTGAACAGTGGGGCGCAGATTTAAAAATGGGGTCCCACTGTACTAAAAATGTGAGGGTTTGGGAGAGTGACAAGATTGGGGTTGTTTACTCGAAAGGTCCTGCTTCTAGTCTAGCTCCCCTCAAGGGACAAGGGGATCTTTATTGGGGGAAAATTTTTTTTTTGAGTTGGGGTCTCACTGTCGCCCAGGCTGGAGTGCAGTGGCACGCTCATGGCCACCGCAGCCTCGACCTGCTGGACTCAGGCAATCCTTCTGTCTCAGCCTTCCAGGTAGCTGGAACTACAGGCACACGCTACCATGCCCGGCTTATTTTTTGATTTACTGTACAGAAAAGGTCTCACCAAGTTGCCCAGGCTAGTCTCGAACCCCTGAACTTAGGCAATCCTCTCACCTCGGCCTCCCAAAGTGCTGGGATTACAGGCTTGAGCCACTGTGCCCAGCCGAGAAATTTTAATTATAGAAATAATATACAATCATCAAAAAATGTTCAACTAAGCTGGGCTCAGTGGCTCAGCCTGTAATCCCACACTTTGGGAGGCTGAGGTGAGTGGATTGCCTGAGCCCGCGGGTTCAAGACCCGCCTGGGCAACTTGGCGAGACCTCATCTCTACAATAAATCAAAAATTAGCCGGGCGTGGTAGCGCACGCCTGTAGTTCCAGCTACTTGGGAAGCTGAGGCAGAAGGATCGCCGGAGCCCAGCAGGTCGAGGCTGCGGTGACCAGAAGCGGCCACTGCACTGCAGTCTGAGTGACAGAGTGAGACTCCAACTCAAAAAAAAAAAAAAAAGTTCAACTAATACAGAAAATAATTTTAGAGAAAGCAAAATGTGAAAGGCTTCCATGTCCCTACCCCCTGAAGACTGTTACTATTAGAGAATGACACAAACTGTTTCAGATTTTTTGGTATAAGTCTACTCACACAGAGAATACTACCCTACATTCCATTTTGCAACTTATATTTCCCCCACAGACATTTTTCGACATACATAAGTACCTTTCTTTTTTTTTTTGAGTTGGAGTCTCACTCTCACCCATACTGGAGTGCAGTGGCCACAGCCTCGACCTGCTGGGCTCCGGCGATCCTTCCGCCTCAGCGCTACCACGCCCGGCTGATTTTTTGATTTATTGTAGAGATGAGGTCTCACTGCCCAGGCGGGTCTCGAACCCGTGGGCTCAGGCAGTCCACTCAC